GGCTCCGGCGCCCCTAAGCCGAAAACGCAATTCCTAACTAGGTAATCACAAACCCAAGTGAGCATCTTGAAAAATACCGTCATTTGTACACTGATGCGGTTTTGATAGTATACTGAACTGAGGCTGGCTGAATCTCTTGTTTATGATGGTCGAAGAGTTCCTAGCAGTCTTCTGAGTAGTGGGTTGTGAATGAAACAAGTGTGCATCGTTCATAAGGGGCACTTTTCTGCCGTGTGGGGTCTTTCCCGCAGATTGAATTAGTTGCATGTCGAATTTACCAATTCAAATATTTCCTAATACCAACCCAGAAAAAAACATGATTATTCTGCGCCCCATTTTCTGCTTTAACTGCGAATTCATTGAAGTAAGAGAACTATCAACCTCCACCTTTTTAGGCTTGATAAATAATTATATTCCGCAGAATTCCTTCAAAATTCTTTTGTAGTTAGACATATGTGGTGAACAGACATTGTGCTAACTGGGAGCTGAACCATATCTCAACTGAATCTGTTGTTTATATTAATTAGTGTTTGGGACACGGAATACAGGTTGAGTCCCAGAAGGGACGAAACAGTTTACTGTCTTTCAAAAGTTTTGACCAGCCTCATCAGAAATGAACATAAGGAAAAAAATGTCTCGGTATCTCAAGTAACGCGTCCAATGGAACATAAAATGACCTTGGTGCATTACACTCATTGCGAGAATATCGTGAACGAGGGACTCTTAATTTGTGAGTGTCAACATTTGGGGCTATATATTGACAAGGACAAAATGAGTAGGATTCATGGGGAGAATAGGGCAGGCATAAACAAGCAAGCTTATGTACTTAGCTGCAGGTTATTCAAAGGTCAACATTGTGATGTCGACTCCCAAGCTTGATGAGGATTATCGATAATCTGACCCATAACCAATCAACTGGGTTCACTTTGTTTTTGGCGACTAACAGAAAAGAGGACAGTAGCAAAATCAACCGCCAAAAGCTACTGCGAATCCGACGGCTTCTTGTGAGAATTCAACGGTCCATTGTGATATCCACATCAGTCCATTATTTCCAGCAATTTACTGTGTCCATTTTCATTTTCTGCTAAAGGCCACTCCGCGCTGAAAACATGGAAAACACTCACTCTAAGAAAAGTGTAGACGTTGGATATATTTTTAGGTGCGAATAGCAAACCGTCAGGAAAAAGTCCACAAGACGCACTGCTGTTCAGTGCACAGCAGGAGTCGTTCTCTTATAAACATCTTTTCACTCAGGCATAAACCGACAAAATGAAACGTGTGAGGCTACCACAGCGCTTAGCATAATCCACAGCAGGCACGGTGTGTTTCTTAGCCGACTACGTGGATTTTGTTTTAGGGAAGCAGACCACAGCATGCACTTTCATGTCTCCCGAAGATCTATTAGGAGAAATAATTCAGATCAATTCAGAGAATTATCAGTTAACTAGGGCAAACTACTAGTACAGAGTGAGTGTGCATACTTGCTGGACGACTCTCAATACTCTCCAATAGCTCTTCCAAGTCGCCCAACTGTGTCGGTTCAGCTCCTGGCTGAACTCTCCTTTGCTTGTGTCAACTCTACAGTGTTCTGTTTGTACATCTGCACAGCTGACTAAAAAAATTCCTGCTGAATGAACAAGGGTAGCTGCCATTCGCCTTCAATAAATAACTGTGTTCTACTTCGATGAATAGTTGATAAACTCTGAACCGAATTCGGACAGTCACCAGTTGGTCTTATGACAGGTTCTCATCAGCGCAGACTTAACGTTACCTGTCTATCCATACATACCCCACATACATTTGAATAACTCTATTTCCGGTCCAGATTTTTTTCGTATGTCTGTTTCAAAATCTTCGTATTGATTGAATGATAAATTCCATGTATTCCATAAGGTTTATCCTTTGATACAATCCTGAGACCACTCTGGATTGTGGATTTAACTATATTCTATGATACACTTTAGACCGGAAATTAGCATGTCATATCAGTGGTACCTAATGAAGCGGGGAACTATTGATGGACTGAACCAGACAGAACCGAAGAATTTCCATGCTGTACCATCAAATAGCGGTTTAACTGTCAGCTGATGTGGTAATGTTCCCTTGACTCAGAGAAATAATGAATCCACTGATTTCTTTTGACTATTTTCGTCGGCAAGAAGCGGAAAACCACTTTCGAAACAGTACGCATGTGAGGATTCCAGTAGTTCTTTCGGGAATTTACCATTTCCTTTTTTCCACAACGTTGGGTTTCGGGAAATTAACAATTCCTTTTTTTCCACAAACGTTGGGTTTCTGCGATTTCGAAAGCGGAATTCCCACCTTGTGTAAAACACTGATTGATGAATTTTTCCGATAGGATCTTGTCTCCCCAAAGCTACAGAACACAGGGGAATTCCTCGAATCAGCCCAGTGCTCTTGTGAACAGAAATTGTTTCTGACCTGTTTTAGAGATGCACGTGGCTGAAATATGAATCGTTGGTTTCCAGCCTGAATGGTGTATCTCAGCCCGCAAAACCAAGAAGAACCAGTATGTTTAACGTGAAGTGTCTGTGAGTAAAACAGTAGCATCCACGGGGGAAGGAAGTACATATTGAAACGGATTTAAAGTTGAAAAATCGGCACTATTTAGATCATTGACAGGGTTGGACACTGGACCAATTGGGAATAAAAAAAGCTTTCGCTTCAGGACCTGCTGTGGAAGTGCCTGATTGAGGCGCTTTTGGTTTTGAACATCGGTGTCACAAATGATAATGATTCCAATGAAGAAATCTGAGTCCGCGATTGATTGAACTGACTCCGAAATTCAGTCTTAGGGATCAATGTGTTCGAAACCGTTGAGAAGCAATAGTGCTTGTTCAAGGGCAAGGCGAAAAAATTTGATTTATCAGTTATCTTAACTAGTTTGACTTCCAGAACAAACCGCAGGGCAGCTGGAGCCACTCCTCGTAACTTCAGGCTTCAGTAATATAAATGTCCAGAGGGGAATATTTTGATGTTTTGAAAGGTCTGCAGATGCACTGTCAAGTCTTCTTATCCAAACCGGACGAGGGAGCCAGGAGTGCCTTAAACTTGTGCATTCCTCCTTTCTGCATCCGTAAACGTGCACGCGATTTATGTAGTTTTGTAAACCTCGGCGGTGCATTAGCCAAGCTAAGCTTTTCGCCATCTCCCTTCTGATCACAGATCTCAGTCTATTTAACCGATTGCACTTCACAGTGACTTAAATTGTTGGCTGAATGACAGTATCATGCCTAACTGCAATGAACTGCTCCGAGGACGACATAGACTCCTATTTTATCACAAGATAATGCACTAATATCTCGGGAGAATGATGTGCAATCCGTGTCTCGCACGTTCTACCGGTTCTGTCCATGTAAGTTTCACCGCGGCTGGAGATAAATTGATGGACATGAGCAAAACTGACAGCAATAGAACCTCCGTCAGGTTTCAGTTCCTTGTAATCTCATGTATTGTCCTCTTGTCAATTCCCATTTTCGGTAGATAGGTGAGGGGCAGAACAACTTCCGAGGTCAATCAACTTTAAATTAAACCAATTCTCGTCTATCTAGGAGGTTAGATTAAGTGGTCAAAAAGCGCTTCAACTTTCGTCTACACAGCTAGGGGATCGACGTAGTCTGTCGAAATTCTAAAGTTAACCCACAAAAATAAAACCTTCGGTGGAAGTCGACAGAGATTGAATTTCGAAAACTCTATAACACGCTTTGTTTAACCTGTGGTTCGTCAGAGTTCATCATGTCGTTTATAAGTACGATTGGAAGTAACGTGGTATTGATTCACGGATTTACTCCCACGAGGTGGCGCAGTGGTTAGGGCGCGAATTTGCTGATCAGAAGGTCCGTGGTTCGACTCGACTTTACTAATATAGTCTTTGGCAACCCAGCAATATCCCAGCCCTCGTGCTTTTTTCTGATGTTATGGTAGTTAGATACCATAGGATGTTACAGCTGAACGATTCTTTTCCTACAAACTAAAGACAGGTCGCCCGATGCTGGTAGTAAGCATGCTCGTTTCTATGAAGTGAGTGAGAAGCACCAACATGAGTGTAAGCGTCCCGAATTCCCTATGAAAACCCTTATTTTGGTCCAACATAGAACCTCAAAGAAGCCTCTTGGATTACTAACATCTGGCGTCATTACTTGAGAAACACTGTTCATCTGTTCGTTAACGCTTTGCATGGAGCAAGTCTCAGAGGGCTGGAATCTCGCGAAGCGAGGGAGGGAGCTAAAAGCACTGCGTTGTGTTGATACAATCGAACAATGTAAGCTAAAAGCTACAAGAACATTGGTCATGCCTGGTGTGCAAAGGAAGCGGTGTCGTTTTCCCGGGGTAGACACTACAGTAACTACCCTGGCGTGCCTCGTCGACCTTGGCGCTGAGTTTTCCTCTATTCATCCCAAACCCCACTTCTTCCTGGATGCTCCCTCCACGAATTTCAGCACTTTTATCAGGCTTGCTAGCTNTGGATGCTCCCTCCACGAATTTCAGCACTTTTATCAGGACTTGCTAGCTGACAGTGAAACACGGTAGGGAAAGCTAAAAGTCTGACACAGTGCCTGGTGTACGACAAGACTACCGACTTCCACCGATATTCCTCAGCCTGGTGACCGAATTGTCGCTTGAGATGTCAAGGGAGGAGTACACTAGTGTCCAACTGGGTCCAAAAATCTGGAGAGCGTATTCAGAACGCGCTTCTACTGGGTGACATGTTCGAAGAACGTATTTCCAAACTACTCAACAACGTAGCGCTCGTAGGACTAAAATCAGCAAGAAAAAGTTAATTTCTTCTAAGAATATTTCCCGGAGGTGCTGAAGTGATTGAACAAGTTAGTCCATTCGAATCCCCCAGTTGAACCATTTTACCTTACAGAATGAGTTTCAACACTGAACAGACAGGTACAGATACCGTTGTGCACTCAAGCACACTGGGGCCATTAATATAACCGTACATGAGAAATGTGGCTTTTTGGGCAGAGGATATGCGGAATTCAAAGGTTTTCGGTCACTGCTACCTTCGAAGAATGTTAAATATTATTGCAACCCCTTCAATGACGTCCGAGAAGGGTCAAGGATCTATTGCTCAAGATAGACGCAAAACTACTGTGCCAGTATCCCATCACGAAGATGCTAAGGCCGCTTCGAAGGACAACCGGAGACAGCTCACTATGGCTGAAGCTGATGCGAAGAAGAAACTTGTGTCCGCCACAAGAACTGGTATGCGGTAGACAACCACAACCCGCTCTGACTCAGGAAATAATCGCTTAAATATAGTCCGCTACAGGATATTTAATAAATGACAACGACTTCCTAGTGCGCGATCCCATCATGGATTACTTCCTGTAGACTCCAGACCATACTCACGAGCAAGATCTTAGGCCAAAAGTGCATGCTTTTGACGTACTCTGTGGAAAAAACATCCGAATCCCAAGTCCCAACTCAACTCAGTTACAGGTCACAGAAAGGATTAATCGATCAGCTGAGTGGACTTTTAAGTGAACAGACGAATTCCAAATAATCCATTTCGGCTTGAGTTCATTGTGCAGGACCACACAATGAGCATAGATCTCACTGTTTGGCTGAAAGGCCACGACACCAAATACAAAACCCCAGTCGAAGCAGGAAGACCCTGGCCAGACAGAGCAAAATCGCACGCGTCTACACAACTAACCAAACAATGAAACAAAGCCTGCTGGAACAACATTTACGTTACTGGCTTGTCGAGATCAGCGGTCTCTGATGACCGAACAGTATCACGGCTCCTCCGGTTGAGAATTGTTCTGCCCGAGCGAGCGGTTCGACTACTAAAGTGATGTCCGGTTGATTATTCACAGGAAACAAACGCTGCTCTTTTCACTGCTGGTTGATGATACAGAATTGGGAGTCACGCACAGGTTTGACGATCCCAAATATCGAAAGGAAGAATTGGGTTGGAAAGTACTATTCACACACGAGTGAACCAAATTATCCAACAAAAATCGGTTGTACACCTTCGTGGCGTCAACAAGTGTGGAAGGCTGTCACTGACAGTGTCAAGGTTCGCTTACAAGACAACGGCGAGCGGAATTATGGCTCGGTAATTTGGGTTACGGTCCTCCCTTTCGTGACCAGTTTTGTTATTCTGATTGGTGGTGTGAACACATGGAAACTACAACAGAACATGCCATGGCAGGATCAACAGGGTAAGAACACGCATGGGTATATACATATATATGCTAATATAGTGTCGGACTGGGCGACCTTTGCGGTAAGGTGAATGGCACGTACGAATGAGCAAAACAGGCGGGTGTCCAAAGCACATGGGCGGGTAAGCAAATGAATGGGGTAATCATCACGACATCGAGTTGCATTCAATAAACATTAAAAACAACTTAGTTCGCCGTGTCATGCTCAATGCCTTTGTCAAACACACTGTTTGAAATAGCCAAGCTAATCCGGGTTTATGAACCTCTGTAGAAACCTAAAAGTGAAAAATAATTCGCCCGAGTGAAAGTTGTGTTCGGACTAGACCGGCCTTAGGTTTAAATGTAGCGTAGACCAGAGAGAAAATACAATGCACCATAGTTGTGGCGTTTGGAAATTCAGATTAACTTGGTGTTGTAAAATGGGTGGCGTAAACCTGGCGAAATTTGCAGCCACAGACACTATGAATGTTCTAGCGGAAGAAAATATTGGTAGCTTAATTTGTAATGACGGCCGTTGGTTTGTTCCCTCAGTTGGACAACTTGGTTGCAAACGATTCAGTATCAGTGAGTTAAGGTCAGAAGGGAGGAGGTTGGGTACTTCCACTCAAAACGCACCGATGATGTCATCTCAACCAATGGTGAGACGTTTGGAACTAAATTGTCCAGCTCAGCGAACAAATCGAAAACGAGAGTGGAGGAGGCATCAAAGCAGAGCATCTCAGAGTGGTACAAAAGACGACAACAAGGTACTCGACCCCCAGAACGAAGAGCTGACGATCAACTAGACAACCAATTGACCAAAACGCATATATTGCACATATCATCTTTGAATAAAACTAAAAATAGTGGTGATAATATGAATATGATGTCTGAATAGAAACCGGTGCACAAGTGATGGATAAACTGTGCGAGAAATGGGCATAAGAGAAAAGCATGATTAAAGTTAACCACAGCGAGCTTGAACACGGGGACCCAGGGTAAAGCGTAAACGGAAATCAATATACATACACCTCCTTTAGCGTAATACGATGGTAAAAATATGTTAATTAGGAACAAGATGTGCGTTTGAACGCAAACCGAAGAGTAAAGCAAAAAACAGGTAGCTGTATGTCATCAGGTGAGTGTGAGAAACCGTGAATGAAGGTGAAAAAGGAATAAACAGCCGACAGAGTGAGAGAGATCACGTGGGAGCTCCAGGTGGAGCGGAAAGATTGACCGAATTGGGTCTGGAACTACTACTAGGAGTTGTAGCGCCACCAACAACGGATCGTCTGACGCGGGATGATTCTCTGGACGGTTTACTGCCTGCACATCGCTCGTTTACGTGTTCCTTGAAAGTTCGACCATCAGACAAGGTGAAGCACGTCTTAGTACGCAATTCGTATTGTTCTATGGTCGACAGAACGTCCTGTTCGGCCCGCTGAACTTCTTTCTGAAGACGTTTCTTCTCCTTTTCAGTTTTCAGCAGAATGCCGCCTCGATTAGAGAAGATCGCTGGGTCGCGTAGACGCAGTTCCACTTCACACAGAGCTTGCCATTGCTCTTCATAGGCAGCTATACTTTCGAAAATCGGTCTATATGTGGAGTAGGTTTGATTGAGCTGCTCGAGTACCGTTTCCAGATGGTTAGCTACCACCTCGGGATCAGTGGAGTCCTGATCTGGCGGAAGCTGGACAATCTTCTCATCCATGCAACACATATTGGCCAATTTCACTGCCTCCATCGTCAATCGTTTCAGATAAGTGTCCAGTTTTTCCCACTTGATTTGTTGGCATCGATCAACTTCTTCCTAGAAGGCATGATGAATAAAGTGAGGGTATGAAAGAACAGCATTTGCAGGAAGGAATGGTGAGGACAGTGAAATTGCCCAGAGCACTAAGTTTGATCACTCGTTTCTTTACCAAGGAGGGCTCAAACCTACCAGGAAGCAGCAACACATCTGAACTGTTGTTAGGTTTCTAATTCTAAAAAGGATTTACGGAGAGGTGAACTCGAGCAGCGGAATTTCTAGCCAAAAGTTCGAAACCTAATCGTCCGACACTCCCTAGCTCTACTCATGTCCCCTAGAACGTGTGCTGTTGTTTTTGCATAAGGTGGATCTAAAATTACTTGAATGTAAATAAAATCATGTCAGCAGAGAAATTCGAAACACGTCGGTTTGGTTGAAGGACGCATAACGATGAACCAGTTTTGTGGACATTTCGTAAAGAGACATATGAAATAGTTACGATGCACGTTCCATACACCGTACGACTTTTCAAGATAAGTTCTCGTAACTTATGGATGGGGAAGGCATTAGAGGCCGCTTATCGCAACCGCGCAAGCCGTCGAGGGAGGAATATGAACTGGCTCATCGTCTCGATTGGTTTCAACTTCTCACCACTGCGAGACGAAAAATCCGGTATAATCATCTTCATTACTATCGTTACGAAAGAAACGATAAGAACGGATTGTTCCTATAGTGAATCTAAACAATCCGACGATACGGCAGCTTTAGCACCCCTTTGGTGCACACAGGCTATGCCACTCGAAGGAAACGCGAAGACCGAGATACCACTGGGTTGCCCAAGCGATCTAAATGCAGAGGTCGGGTTCGAACCACAGAACTTCCGGTCAGTGAGTTCGCGCCTTAGCCACTGAACTATCTCAAGCTTGAGCAACACAACGAAAAACGTGGAGCAGAAACGATCAGACACAAATCGCTTTGCAGGCGACGAAACTAACATTCACAAACCTGAAGTGCTTCCAGTGTTTCGGGCCGGTAGCCACCATGTTGCGTTAAGAAAACCGTTTGTTCCGATTGAGGTTTGTCCAGTCTTCGCCACATGGTGGTCAAATAGGCACGCAGTTCCTCACATGTGCAAACAAGGCGAGCCTTTTCTTTGACTAATTTTGAGCGCCACTCCGTCAGCCACTAGCGAGACAAGAGTGTGGAATGCCATATGATCAGTATTTTGTCAAACATGAGCAAAGAAAACCCAAGCAATTTAATCATCATCATCATCGACAGCATAAATTTAATGCGTTAGTCAGGGAAAACAGTCAGTCTTTATGATTAGAAAAAGAAGGTTAACTGCTATCGAAAAAAAACAGTGACAGGATTAAATTACAGTATTAGGTTTAGGTAGAAGTTAGGGTGCTGTTGGATTTTAGAAACATTGTCATACAACCGGATGTACTGGAGTGACAAGGACCGTAAGGACGCGCGAAGCACATTGAGCTATATTACTCACCGACGGTTGAAAAAAGGAACACGACTGACGTGCCAGCGGACATTGGAAACGAATATACACAGATTGTTATGAATCGACGGCAGAATAACGGTCCATTGAGAGTGAGTCTCGGAAAAATGTGCAAAGCGTGATAGCGCAAGTGGACATGGAATGATTACGTTGACGAGACAAGAATGAAGGACAGAGCACCACTTACTTAGTGAAGAAGGGAAGAATGCTGAGTGTTGACTAAACAAGCGGCAGAAGGGTGGTAAAACAATAGGCAATAGTCATTCAGCTGAGATACACTTCCAGTTCACATCTGCCTTAAAACTTGAAGCAGATTTGAGATACTATCTGCTGGTCCAAGCCTACAAGGGAACAATCGGAAAGCTAGGGTTGGTTTCGAACCACGAACGTTCCGATCCGCAGTTTCGCGCGTTAAACGCTCACCTGTCTCGAACTCAGTAGGATGGAATTAAAAGGTTTGCGCGGTGGTCAAGGCAAACATTGGATTGTCCAGTGCCATCGCACACCGCAGGTAGATTAAGATGAAGAATGCCCAGTTCATAGAGACGACCATGTCTAGCTATCTCCACTGGAGGTTTCGAATTCCACGACAAAAGTAATGAAGGTACATGATATAAGAATTGCTTTCGTTTCTCCGCTGAATTTGACCGCCAGTCTAGAGAGATCTGCAAGCACGATGAAAACTGAGCAGATCGGGATAATTAAAATGTGATAACAGCAGCCCACAAACACCTACAAGTCAACAGACGGACTGAGGCAATCACTAGGCCAAATCGTCACAAGGGTCATAAAAATCGGATGTACGTTACACTCCCATTTAGACTGAGATGAAAGTTACGATACCTTCGTCATCTGCGGCTGTCCTTAGCAGTCTGTCAGTTCGGTAAGCAGTAAGAACTGATATAAAGAGAGGACGGTCATTTAGAGAAGGATATGAAGGTTGCGTGACAGAAGAGCCACTCGACTAGTAGCGAGTGTCCTTCAAGAAACTTCATACAACCCTCTAGTTGCTACGAGTCAGGCTGGTCGTAATTACAACGGGTTCCATAAATAAATCAATGTGAAGCCTGTCAAAGTGAAGTGCAACCCCAGGCGTCATAGACCCTACCGAGTTAGTACACGCCGACGAAATACTGGGCTAAGATCAATAAATCCACGACCGTAGTGATGTCCATTTAAAGACTTGGTCAGGATATTCACAAAGGACACTGAACACAGAGAATAAAAACGCGACAGGCGTTGTGAGCGTTTCGGGATCTGTAGGACACACACTATTGCCGAATAATGCTTCTCAATCACAAAGTCTCGGGTAGCTATGTTTTACACGAAACTTCGGGAGGCACGGTGGCGAACACATCTGCAGAAGGTTACTGATTATTCCTGATAAGCAAGAAACAACTGTGCAATGGTTCGCGGCTTTTGTACCACAGGCTGACTTCAATTGCAAGTTAAGCCTCCTCACTACATAAAAAGATGGGTGACCTGTATGGCGAAATTGGTCAGCCTTGGAGAATATTTCTCTCGGTGAACAATTCTGCTTTCTAATTACCACTTGCAAAATTTTCACACCTATGGCTTAGTTACTCCTTCAGAATCACGAGACAATCCTGACTACTCAACAGTTTTAACCGTCATCTTGCTTCGATATAATCATTAAGGTTAGGCCACACGAAACTGAGTGAGCTACAGACTTGTTTCGCTGTTATTTGAGCACAACTATGGTGCACATTCTCGGCCGTATATGGATTGGAACCCTGGAAATCTGACATGCGAGGTAACTGTGCTATCAGTCCTCCATCAGCGCACGCTGGACGCATCCGAATTACCACGTCAGATCAGGACATGTTACGTTTCAGCGGGCGGCCTGTCAAGCGACTCAAATGATGACCAAGCAACTGGCCCAATTGCTTCAGGAGGGTTTGGTAAAAACTCGATGGGTTTATGGCTGCTCAACGTTCCACTTTTGACACAAAAGATTCATGTGAGTAGGTTGTCAGGTTGACCGAATCTTACGGGGAACCACTCAGAGTCCTCCGACTGGTACACCAGATCTGTGTTGAGTGTCGGCTAAAAGGTCTTGTCGGTTGGCGTGGGTGTCTAAATCTTATAGCCGATTGGCTGGGCTGGGGGAGTGGGGATAGATATCTTCATTGATAACCACATAGCATTACTTGTCGCCTCGAGTGATCTAGAACCGTCCTGTACATATTCCCAAGTTCACGCCTTCCATTCTGTTCACGCTGAGACACTTGGCAATTTTCACCGCCTCGACTATCAGCCGCTGTAGCCTAAGCCTTATTGCCTGTCTCAAAACCGCAAATTTTTCCAAATCTTGTGCCCTATGTCTAGCGCATGTCTCGCAAATTGGTAAGTCTTTCAGTAACGCTCGATATTCATCTGAGCTCTTTGGCGACCTTTACCAAACCCTTCTGAAGCGATGGTTCCTCAATTGACACAAAACTTTTTCCAATCTTTGGTGACCTGTTCACTTTCGTTCGCCAATTCTGGTGTGAAGTTCCCTAGTGCCTGTCCTATACTGGCCTTGGTGCAGTTGTTGCATTTGACTTTGTGCACACAGTCCCTGCACACAGCTGAACTCGGCCAACCTGGAAACATAGTCACTTGGTCTGATGAAGCTTTTGTGTCAAAAGCAAAAAAAAACATTGCCTAACTTTAACCCCCCCCCCTTGAAAATTTAGCAAAGCTCTCTGAAACGATTACTTCTAGGTCGGCTCCAAACTTTTTCCAGCTGACTGTCCCGATCGCCGTTTCGATCGAATACTCCACCAGCCATCACATCCCCGTCAGGTAGGAACATGGGTGCATTGAACCCACAGTTACCCATTAGCAACCAGCTAATCAACAAATTTCGGTGCACGTGTTAGATCAGGCTAAAACCTAATGAATCTATGAGCCACCCGCTCGAAAAAGTTCCAGAAGTTATATGAGGTTTTCTTAAAAGGTTGTAAGCTGTAGATCTAGTCCACAACGGCTTGCATGATGTAAATGTGCACCTTGATGGATGGTCGGTCCTAAATTCTATAATACAAATTAAAGTCTATGGCACTGATAATTACTCAGATACTTGTATGTGAATAGTTAAGTATTCAATCTCTGTCATCCACAGTGTCTATCTCACGGTTGTTTAGAGTGGTTTCGAGTCACCAACCTACCGTGACAGATAGTGAACAACTGCACATTGTAGTTGCAGTGGTTGTCACTTTATTAGGTGTGGCCAAAACTGGCAGAAGCGGGAGGTTCCGATCACCCAGAGAAGTGAGACGCCGAGATGGGCGTGATACTTCCTAGTTATTGACATGCTTGCCAACTCTGATACATCTACTTTGAAAGCATGACTGCCGATTAGGTGCCAAACATGCTTGCTTGGTGAGGCTACGGAAGTTAGGGTAAATTCCTTACTTTCAGAGTTTTTTCACCCACCACCGGTTCGATGGATGACACGCTGGACGAAATGCCAGTGTCCGGGTCAGTTTGCTTGCAAGAATAACCGACGGAGTCAGTCCACTTTACAACTTTTCGTGATGCAACTATATCGGTTGAGGGACCATTAGATTGAGCACACAGGTGCGACAGTCCAGCTGTTCCCAACAGTTCCGACTCCTGTTCGGATTCAGGCTCGTAGCCAATATCCTCACTGATACGCACGATGTCCTCCATGAGAGATGCGTGTTGCGCAGCCAGAGGCGCATACTTATCATTCAGTTCATCGTGTGCCTCACGAATTCGCTTTAGTTCTCGTTCGTCAGGAACGCAATCTGAAAAGTGAAAATTGAGGACGAAACCATAGCGTTATTACGACTCAAAAGAGACATCACACAGTAGCCCGACAATCGACCAGCGAACTGTTTCACATTGAGGTGATGACAGCTTGTATGAAGTTGATGCGCAGTCATTCGATAAGAACAACAAAAATACACAAAAGCGATGTTACTGAGCTGCGATTGTGAGACGATCAACCAGTGTCCTTAGACGGTATTTTATGTCTTAAGTGATGGAACAACAAGAGCGGAAGCGTCTCTGCTTGATTGGATACCCGTTGACAGTCGCCTCTGTGCGGTTCGTTTGGCAACATCGGTGAGAGAATCTAGAGGAAGTGAGGTTCACCGCACCTTGTTTATTGTTTCTGCTTACGCCCCAACTGACTGTAGTTCTGAATCTGCCAAGGACAGTTTCTATGGTGCTCTAGGTGCCCTTCTACAACAGGCTAAAAGCTCAAATATCGTTGTGGTTGCTAGTGATATGAACGCCCAGGTAGGTAGACTAAGCGCTTCTGAGGCCCGATTGGGTGATCGTCTTGGTTTCGAAGCGAGACGCACGGACAACGGAGACCGCTTAGTTCAGATGTGTGCCGATCACAGGCTGTTCCTTTGCAGTACGAATTTCCGGAACAGCGGAAGTCGCTTGACAACGTGGTGCCCACCATCAAACGAGCGCCGAATCCAAATAGACCACATCGCCGTCAGTTATCGGTGGCAAGGGTCGATCACCACCTGCTGCTCCTTCTGGAACACCAGCGTGGACTCCGACCATGCACTTGTATGCTGCTGCTTTCCATTGCGCTTTTCAGGTGTACGCAAATCGCGCACACCTCGCTTAGCCATTGGAAAGCTAGTTGACCCAGAAATCAAAAGAATCTATCAGAACCAGCTCCTCGAATGCCTGCCGACGGTACGGCGTCGGATATAAACGGCCACTGGGAAAAAATATCCAACGCGTTACTCAAAGCAGCAGCGTCTGCTTGCGGTACAATCCAGCCAACCTCATCCAAGCATTGGATCTCTGATAGAGCCGTGTCTTTTCTGGAGACCCGGCGACAGATCCCACCTGGTCGCCACCACAACTCCACCCGG